AAGCAAATTTAGAAATGAACCACAATTAAGAAAGATTGTTAGGTTGTGTGTTTAAAATGATGAAATGAAGATTCAAAGATAATAGTCATAGACTGGAATTAGGAAACAAAAGCAACAAGATTAAAAATAACAGAGATAAATGCAAAATTTTCATTAAGTGTTCACAATTGAATTACATGGGTATAAGATGGAAGAGATCTCAGAAGTTCTTATAAAAATGACCAGAAGGATTTAATGGGCTCTAAGTTTAATACAAGCCAATAAGTCTATAAAGATGTCTAAAAGCTACAATTTACTTGGCTATATAAATTATCAAAGGAGGAATATCCTATTTTCTCTCCACCCTTCAATCTACATCTGGGGAGGAGGAGTATTGTTTTGGATTCATCAGATTCTGGGACATGATTATGTCATGTTTGCCAGTAGGTAGGGTCACTGTGTGCTAACAGGTCAGTGCTAGGGTGTGAATGTCTTGTTACTCTCCCTGAAACAAGGCTGAGATGAAAATGATCAGGACCTACCCTCCATAGGAGATTCTCTTCCTCTCTCTTCTTTCTCTGTCATCCATATGGCAGAAGTGATAAGCTGACTCAGGGCCTACTGTCTTGGATCATCTCCAACAAATGGACTCACTCTTCCTCCTCCTCCTCCTCCTCCTCCTCCTCCTCCTCCTCCTCCTCCTCCTCCTCCTCCTTCTCCTCCTTCTTCTTCTTCTTCTTCTTCTTCTTCTTCTTCTTCTTCTTCTTCTTCTTCTTCTTCTTCTTCTTCTTCTTCCACATGGGGCTGGATTATAGTAATATCCAAAATTTGGGGGTAGGTGAAATATTGGCAAGCCTCATGCACAACTTGCTTTGGGCTGAAGGTATTTAGGTAAAGTAACCTAGGAAAGGGTTATTTGCCACATGGCCACCTGTTCCATATGGCCCATACTCCACATGGCCCAGCCTAAACATCAGGTATCTTTTAGGGAACTTGATGTTTAAGTTCAGAAAGTGATAAAGACTTATTGAATTTTCCTTTCCTTTTGTGTGTGTGTGTGTGTGTGTGTGTGTGTGTGTGTGTGTCTTTCATACACCTTTCAAGGGAGGATAGCTAGAGTGGGATACACATATTCTTTAATTATTTAATCATAATACCACTTAAGAGCACAGCACCTTAGTCCCTCCACTAACTCTAACAGTAGGATTCAAAAGACGGTATAGTGGTTAATGTCTCTTTACACTCCAGGCGTATGGTTTTACTCTATATCGTATAACCCTATTTGAGCATCCCATAGGCACCTCAAACATTTACTTTCAAAATTTAACTTACCGTTTTTGTATCCTCTTGCTCTGATTCCCACTCCTACCACTAATTTTCAAATACATGTCTGCTGCTATTTAAGTTTTCCCTGGTTATTTGTAAATAGATATCACTACCTACCTTGTTGCCAACTCCTTGGCCCTCCATATTAAGGTGGTCACCAAATTCTGTCATTTCAAATAAAAAAGTCTTTTGAACATGTTTACTCCTGCCTTCACCTAGTTGGCCCTCACTATATGTCACCTGGATTATTGTAAGTCATGACCTATGTTTTCATTCTTGTCACAATGCTTGACAAATAGTATGTAACTGACTATGGAAAATATAGCTTTTGTGTTTATCTTCAAATTTTTAATAGAACTTGATATCAAGAGACAATACACTTATTTTGGGTTGCTTCAGATATCAGGGAGGCAAATTTTTATTAATATAATATGTAACTTAAAACAGAATGATTCCAATTGTGGTCTAAACTATTTTATAAAGCTCTGAGCTCTTTATTATAGGGATTATTCAAGGAAAAGCTGAGTAGACATCAGGGAGGGTGCTGTTGAGAAGATTCTGGCTTTGGTATAATACCAAACAATAAGAATTCTAGGGTCCCTTTTAACTATAAGATATGATGATTTCTATATTAATTTTACATGTTTGTATAAAATCCAAAATATTAATAGCATTTATTATGATTGGTAAGATTAGAGATAAGCATTTTCTTCCTAATGCTTTTCTGTATTTTTAAGTTTTCCAAAATGAAATGTAATACTTTCATAATCAGAAATAATTTTGTTATGAGTAAGCTCAAAATTGTATACTTTAAAAAATACTTGATCTCGTTCATGTAAATATAACCTTTTGTTATAGGTATCAAAGTTTTTTTTTATATATATATGCCAGCTCTTAGTTTGCTTTTGGTTTGGCTGCATATACCAGAAAATTTAAAAAATTTAACAGTGGTTTTGAAAAGCTAGAAGTCTAGTTCTCTTTTATGGAAAAAAAGTTTGAATGTAGACGGCCTGAGGTGGTGTGGTGGCTTCACTCTATCAGGCACCCACACTCTTTTATCTTATTCAGCTGTGTGTGGCTTCAATTCCCAAGATCATCTCATGGTCCAAAATAGCCACTGAATACCAACATTACATATGTGATCTAAACAGCTGGAAAGAAGAAGGGGAAGATGGACCTGCTTCCATCATTTTAAAGATCTTACCAAAAATACCAGACAACTCTTCTATATAAATTTTCTTGGTGAGAACTTAGCCATAAGGCCATACCTAGCTTCAATAAATTCTGGGGAAGAAAATCAGGGCTTTGTTTCTAATAAAGAAGAGAATGGTTATTGGGACACTAATAGATGTCTCTGTTACACCTAATGACTAAGGGTAAGCATAATACAGAATAATTTTTTAAATGTCACTGGCCACAGCTTCTTTGCTAATAAGTTTAGAAAATTTCTATTGGGCTCCATTTATTATGAGCCAAATGTTATCATGTAGAGTGTAAGTTTTCTAAGAATTCAAAAACTGAAAAAGTTTCTATATAATGTGTGTGTGTGTGTGTGTGTGTGTGTGTGTGAGAGAGAGAGAGAGAGAGAGAGAGAGAGAGAGAGAGAGAGAGAGGTGGGAATCAGAGAATATTTTTCAAAGGCTTTAGGTTTTATGATGATTTTTTATTTATTTCCCTTGAGTGGTCACATAATTTGATTATATCTCCTAGAGAAGCTAACTGCTGGTTTATACCATCTTAGGCTGGGAAAGATCTTCCTGATTTTTAAAAGTTCCAGGAAGAGGTCACATTTCATCATTTTCTTTTATGCCCACCTGTGAAATTATTGGCAGTAGTCTTTTTTTAGGACAAAACTCATGAATTAAAGTAAGAGTATTTTTTCTTATTTTAAGAATATGCTACCTACTAAAAATTACATCAGTTGAGTGAATAACAACATAGGTATGGGTGAAAATGGATAATTTATTAGAACAGATATTGCCTGATTTATTTTATTTTATTTATTTATTTATTTATTTATTTATTTATTTATTTATTGAGAAGGGAAGTTTTTCCTAACCTTGAATTCCATTTTATGCAGTACATTTGCTAAGAGAATTCAAAAGAAGAAATCGGGTCCATTGTCCTTCATTCCAGCAGTATTGAAGGCCCAATTTTATCTTTTGAAGCTCTTAAAGAGCATACTGCATTAAAAGGAATGGACTGCTTGCTAGTCAACCATTGCTACAATAGCAATATCAATCATTATACTGTTATCTATTTGAAAGATGTGGATTTTACTTGGAAATGGTATTTATTGAAGCCTGCAAGAAATCCACTTTCTGTCTACCTGGCAAGAGCAATTTGAAATGGAAAATTCAAGCTCAGAGATCAGTCGAAATTTGAACTTCTCTATACTGTCATGAATTTTGGTATGATGATATATTCAGGGGTTGGGGTGAAAGGTATCCATTGGCTTCTAATCCTGTGCTGGGGTTTGTCTCCTCCTGCACAATAGGGCAATCTAAGAGAAACCTTCTCCAGCCTTATTAAAATGGAGGAGGGTGTGGGATGCTGGTGCTGATGCACTTAAAATGTGCTTTGAAGCATCATGGAAATTTCGCAAAAGACTTTTATGTAGCAATGATTCTATTGATAGAGTCAATGAGAGTTTTGTCTGTGCAAGAGCTGCAGGATAGGACCCCAAGTCACATGCTTTCAAAATTATTCTCCCTTTGTTGGATGTCACAAAGGATATTTTCCCATGAAAACAAGATCTTTTGTTTCTTATGAATTCATTCTAATTGTGAAGCCGGCTGATAGGGTTACTTCATGTTCTTCTCACACTGGCAGGTGGTCTGAGGGAGCTGGTGAAATGGGCTCAATCATTTATTAAGGCTTTTCCTGATCTTAATGTCATTTACTTCTCATCCAAAACCATAGTCTTTGATGTTCATTTCCAAAGGCAATACCAGTGAGGTCACAGATAGTAATTTGTTCCTGTTTGTCTTTTAAAGGCAGCAGGCAAGATATCTCTGCCTTCCTGGTTTCCCTAACTTTTTGCGAATGTGCAAGGCTAACAAAAACTGCATAGAATATATAAACAGGTAGGGAAAGTTTAGACAACTTAGAGCATCAGTTTTCAAAGATAAATTGCATGTGCTACGTTCTGTGCATAAAATAAAACAGATACAGTTTCCTCATGCTGAGAACTCACACTCGATCCAGCCAGTGTGCTGTGTGAAAACAGCAATTTGGCAAAATTTATATAAAGGTTCTGTAGAAGATCTGTACCAACTACTGAGGATTCAAGATAGGTATGGCTTAGCCTGGTCCCTTAAGGAAGTACTACAGAAAATGCTATAAAATGATGTGGCAACAGTACAGCAGAGACATGAATTTAAAAGTGCCATAGGTAGTAGTTTTATCAGGGTGATCACTATGTTATATAAATGTGTAATCACTATGTTGTACATCTAAAACTATAATACTGTGTGTCAAGTGTAATGGAAAAATAAAGCATTTTTTATAAGTGCCATTGGAATGCAGAGGAAAGGAAATGCAGTATATACACACAAAAGATAGCAATCAAAAGTTCACAGTATATTAAGCTGGTATAGGAAACATATATATTTAAAAATTTCCTATGTAATTTATTATGGAGAGCCTTGGCCAAGTCTATAAACTGATTTTTTTTTTTTTTTTTTTTTTTTTAGTAAGCCCAATGCTACTTTAAGAAATGAGAGGCTGTGCTGTGTTACAAGGCAAGAGCTGTGATGTGTGGTCATCTCTAAATAGTAATAGTATTATGTGGACTGTGCCTGTACACATGCACACACAAGACCCTGTGACCATCATACTTCTAGAGAGCATCTACGTGGAATAAAAAAGGTGAGATGAGAGATCCTCATCTATTCATTTCATATCTTTGATCTTGGGGACAACTTTCACCTTTTGTTTGATGGTTCCTCCCCATATGAGTTATCATTTTCATCAATGTCTACAATAACTAAGCTGTGGTAACTTTTAGAGGACAGAATGGGGCAAGATATGGCTGGAGACAGAAATGACTTGACAATATCATACACAGATAATACATGGAGTCCCTTTTGGATCAGGAAAAGAGGACTTTGCAGTGAATAGGATATGAGTTGTTTTCTTGCCTCGAGAAAGGTAGGTTTTCCCCTTTTCTGGTGAATGCAAGGAAGAAATCTCTGGTTAATAAGAATGAGCAGGAGAAGAAAGTGTTCTTGGCCCAAGTATAGGGGTCAGGTGGAGCATAGCATTTAAAAGCATAAGGAGCATTTGGACAATCATTGAGCCTAGTTTGACTGCAAGTTCTTCAAGAACAGGAATGTACAATTGAGAGGGGAGGCAGAGGATGTTGGGCTGAGACCTGATAAAATGGTAGGATGACCATAGTCTTGAATCAGAAACAGGGACAAATGGTCTTTGGAAGACTGTATTCAAAGAGGAATAGAAAAGAGACAGGCGGTGTAGGCAAGGCATGTGATTTTAGTAACAATGGTGATGAAATAACCACAGCAGGATTGTACTAAAAATAGAGCTTCTAGCGAAGTCTGGATTTCAGAGAGACAAACTATTGCTTTATATCAATTAAGCAGCATCTACGTGATATGTTCAAGGTATTTGGATTGCATTAGCTGCTTATTATAGTTCTATATCAGACTTCAGAAGACCCTGGTCATACACTAACCTATAAATGAACAAAAGCCAAATTTGGTGATAGGTATGGCTAAAAGGTTTTCTTTCTCATGTGTTGTTTTGAAGAGTATGTTGATGAACTCAAATGGTTCTTACTGACAGTGCTGTAGCTGTTTGGATTAGTGCAGCCATAAGTGGCCTAAAACCAGAACTCTACAGACTTAATCAAGGCCCAAAATTTCAGTGAGCCAAATCTACCACAATTCCTATTGATAACCTCACCAAAGACAAAGCCAGATTTCTTTTTTTCCAGTTTTTATTAATTTATTTTTGTTACAGATGTTTCTCCCCCCCCCCAGACACCCTCCTCCCCATCCCGCTCCCTACCCCACCCCCAGCGTTGTTGTCTATGTCCATTGGTTATGCATACACGCACATAAGTTCTTTGGTTCATCTCACCCACCTCTCCGCCCCCCTACTCTGAGGTTTGTGTGTCTGAATCATACTTCTTTCTGTGTCTCTCAGTCTATTTCATTCATCAGCCCACCTTGTTCATTATATTCCACAAATAAGTGAGATCATATGGTATTTGTCTTTCTCTGACTGGCTTATTTCACTTAGCATAATACGCTTCAGGTCCTTCTATGTCGTCTCAAAGGATAAGAGATCTTTCTTTCTTACAGCTTCATAGTATTCCATTGTGTATATGTACCACAGCTTTTTTATCCATTCATCTACTGATGGACACTTAAAGCCATACTCTTTATTGCCTAGCTGACTAATAGGCAAAGGACAGCAGACCTTTCATGAACATGCACCCAAATGGGTACAGAACAAGTCCTCAATGTTTGACTGGATGTAATGTTACCAAAAGCCTTTTTAGAGACTTACAATTTTTCCAACTACATGTTTGCTACACCAGTACACAATATAATGTAATAAGGATGAAATGATTTGTTGGTAGACTACCAGTGAAAGATACTTCTAGCTTGTGCTCAGTGGTTTGCTGGAGCCTGCTTGTACCAGCTCACAGTGCCATGTGTGAAATTTTTGAAAGTATCTTGAAATTGGCAATGGTGGGAGTATTTACTCCACAAAAATTAGCACATGTACAAATCAGGGCTTTTTTTTTTTTTTTTTTTTAATTCAGAGAGCTGATTGTTAAACATTTACCAGCACAACACTGGCTTGACTCCATTCCTGAAAACTACTAAACTAATTAAAAAGCTACAGAAATAGCATGGATGAATCTCACAGACATTACTCTGAGTGAGAGAAGCCAGATACAGAAGATCACATACTATATGATTTCATCTATATGGATTTCTAGAACAGGCAAACTAATTTATGATGAAAAATATCAGGATGGAATTACCTCTGGAAGGGGGAATTTACTGTGAAGGGACATGAACAGTTTTCCAGAGTGATGAAAATATTCTGTATCTTAATGTAGGTATGAGCTACATAGGTATATATATTTGTCAAACAGTCATCAAAATGTATACTTAATGTCTATGAGGTTTATTATATGTAAATTTTACCTAAAAAAAAACAAAAACTGCGAACAAATATTGAACCGTACTTTATAGATTCACTTTGTACAATTGTAAGTGTTTGCAATTTTGAAATTATTTGGGTATTTTAAGTTTGAGCAAATGAGTAAATATATTGAGGATAATGGAAGTCTGTTTTCTCATTGCTGGAGAAAAAAATATTCCCATGTAGTGATCTCAGTATAGAATGAAAACTGTGATAAAAATAATGTAACTGTATTACAAATGTAATACATCCTTACTGAAGGGGATGGGAGAGGAGATGCTGATGTCAGTAATTTAAGAAATGATTATATTCTCTAATAAGATGAAAGGCAAAAGAAAGAAATGGCACAGAAGCACTGTACCCACAGAAGTCCAGATTAACAATTCTGATTCTGATATATGTGTATATTGGAATTAAATAACTTAGCAAATAGATGGTGGATGGCGGGAGCCAGGTTTCTCACTCTTGGAATGGAAATTTACAGGTAAGCAAGGGAACGAGCCTAGAATGATCCATATGGTAATGGGGTAGAATTGGAGACATAGGTATGAGATTATGTTTAGCTTAATATTGATAAAATGTTACATATAGAAATATTTATAGTCATGTGTACATGTAGAAGGTAGTATATGCTCTGTCACTTGAGAGGGGCTTGAAGCAATGACACCCCTTTAACAAAATCATAACCAGTGCCAAGATCTTAGTTCCTAATACAATACTGTAATAAAAGAGTATGGGACAAATGATTGATGCTAGAACTGGAGCAGAAAATATACAAGATGAGCTGGGGCTCTTGTAGTGCCAAAAATGTAAAAAAATGCTAAAAGACATTCCAGTATGGGAGTATGCCAAGGGGACACAGGAGTCAACTGAAGGAGTTCCCACTGGCCAAAGGTGGAAAAAAATTAAGCAACAAATTAAAGTAGTATTGGATTAGTAGCAAAAGTGTAAAAATAAATATCTCTGAGCCCATAATGATATAAACAAGTTATTGAGTAAGGAAATAAGTGGAAGAGAAGAGAAAAATCTCCAGTACAGAAGAACTGCCAATAATTTATGTAGATACTATACCCTAAAAGAGAGGGAGCATGACTCCCCACACCTTAAGTGTGGGCTGCACATAGTAACTTTCTTCCAAAGAGTGAAGTGATGGAAAGGGGAAAAGAGTAGCTTTAGAGTGGAAAAAACTGACAAACACTAGCTCAGCCAGGGGTTCAAGGTCAATAACAGTAATAAGTTATGTTGATACTATATACTATGGATATAATGTGATAAGAATGACACAGTAAATCAATAAACAACAAGTGCTGGTGAGGATGTGGAGAAAAGGGAACCCTGGTACACTGCTGGTGGGAATGCAGACTGGTACAGTTACTATGGAAAACAATATGGAGTTTCCTCAAAAAATTAAAAATGGAACTGTCATTTGATCTAGTGATGCCACTTCTGGGAATATATCCTAAGAAGCCTGAAACACCAATCAGAAAGAGTATATGTACCCCTATGTTCATAGCAGCATTATTGATAATAGCTCATATCTGGAAACAGCTCAAGTGCCCATCAGTAGATGAGTAGATAAAAAAAGCTGTGGTAAATTTACACAATGGAATACTATGTAGCTGTAAAAAACAAGGATCTCTATGAGATCCCTGAGACAGTGTGGAAAGACCTGGAGAATATTATGCTAAACCAGTCAAATATCACATGATCTCACTTATCTGTGGTATCTAATGAATAAAATAAACTGAAAAATGAAGTAGGGCCAGAGATATGGATGCATGGAACAGAATAACAGATCTCAGAATGTGTGTGTGTGTGAGGGGGGAGGAAGCAGGAAGAGATTAGCAAAAGAACATATATGCATATATGCTTAAGCCACGGACACAGAGAACAGTATGGGGAATTCCTGGGGTGGGGTGTGTGTTGGGTAGAGGGAAGCAAATAGGGAAAAAATGAGAGACATCTGTAATACTGCCAACCCTAAAAGAAAATAATGACACTTTACCTCTGTGATCTTTCTCCCCCAAATCCGTAATCACAGTCTAATTGTGAGGAAAACATCAGTCAGATTCTAATTAAAGAATATTTTACAAAATGCTTGATCAGTACTCCTCAAAACTTTCAAGGTCATTAGAAGCAAGGAAAGCCACAGACATTGTCACAGTCAGGAGGAGGCTAGGGATTCATGATGAATAAATGCAATGTGCTATCCTGGATGGAATATTGGAACAGAAAAGAAACATTTTAAAAACCAAGAAAATATGAATAAAGTATAGATGCTTGTTAATAATAGTGTATCAATATTGACTTATTAATTGTAACTACACAAATGAACCACACTAATGCAAGATGTTAGCAATAGGGAAAACTGGGGGTGGGATATTTGGGAATTCTGGGCACTATCTGTAATTCAATAGCTATACTTTTTTTTGTAAAGCTAAAATAACTCTAAAAAATAGTCTATTGAAAAAAACAAACCCCCTCAGATACAGATTGCTTGCAGTCAGCAGTGTGGGTGTGTAGAGGAGAGTGCAGCCAGAATGTGCACAGGGTGCTGACAGCATCTGTGCCACTTGATTGTCTGCTGATAGGACCAACCATGACTGTCCTAGGGTGCCCTTTTGAAAGTTCCTCTCTATGTCAATGGTCTTTCTTTGGACGATTTGCACAGCACACCTTCTAATCTG